TTTTTTTTTTTTTTTTTCTATAAAAGTATGAGCCATTCAGGTTCAGTTAGAATCTTGAATTAGAGTTTGGGGTAAATAACATCAGAATCAATTTTCATGGAACTTTAGTTTTGGATATTGACTCCATTGAGCATTACTCTTTGCTACTTATTGGAGTGAGTACAGTTCTTAGTGATGTACGTGTCAGTTGTTCATAGAAATGGATCCTTTTTGTTTTATGTTTTGCTGTGTTAGTCCATTTTTATATCGTTGAATGCTAGGACTCTTGCTGCTAAGATGTGCTATTCTCGACTTAAATTTTGTGTTATACTGGCAAAGGAAAGTGCCACGAGGCTGCCAATTTCATTATTATTGTATTTTATGCATTTCCATTAACGATTAGACTTAACATGTAATAACATATTTTGGTCATGTAGAGTGTGAATGGATTAGGATTACAGGCTGTGCGTGGTAGGGATGACTGTGAGGTTTCTCTTGGGTTTCCGAAGGACACGATTCCAAAATGGGTAAGTTTTCTATGCATCTTGTGTTTCCTTTTTTCCTGGCAGCCTGCTATTCCTGATACGTATTGGAATTGCGATGGAGTCATATGGTAAATTAAAGACAGTATCTTTAAGAGAAAACTGCATCATATTCACGTTTATCATCACACTTTCTTACAAAATCTTAGTTGATAAACATCAAAACAGAAGGATCCCAAAACCGGTGAACTCGAAGGCTTGACTTTTGACTTCAACTTATGTGAAGCAATAGCTACATGGGAGCAGGTCAGTGTCCTTTCCACAATTTTCGTTTTACTAAAAATATATTTAATTTTGTTTATCTCACATAATATCAATGGTACACTGGAAAGTTCAGCAATTGACTTGTACTTTATTTATTTATTTATTTTTTTAAACTATGGGCATGTACCTTTTAGGAAAACTTGAAGTTATAATCAATTTTCTGTAGATTATTTGTATTTGTTTCCAGCCCTTTTCATTCTTTCTTTCATTCAAGCATGAGTTGTAGTTGTGCACTTTTTCTTAGTTTTATTTTTTAGTTTCGTTAAGCTTGTATGTGCTACAATTGATTAGCTATTCAGTGAGGGTTTTACTCAGGTGCGAAATAGTACCACAATACTGACTCGAGAATATATTGATGCTTTACCAAATGGATGGGAAGAATATGCTTGGCGGAGGATCAATAAGGGAGTGCTTCTGTAAGTACTCTCTCTCTCTCTCTCTCTCACACA